TGTGAGTGCGCCTTTTTTCGGCGCTAATGCTCTTGAGAACACCCTGCTGATTGATTATCAAGAAATTCTTCTTTGCAACTCTGCTCATTAAGGGGAGGAGAGGGCAAGAGCGGGAACATAAATAAAGCGTCACTTGGGCTTGTCTTGCTCTTGTTCCAAAATAAACAGATCTGTGTGGCAGAGAGAACCGCTGCAACTTCCAGCGGCTCGCTTTGCCGCTTCGGTCAAAACAATCAGGACTTAAAGAAAGAAGTACCTGCCTGTCACCGCACCAGCCAGCGAAAGGACACACAAGTGAGAGTGAGCAGGTGATTTTTAAAAATTGCTGCTTGGTTTCACATCCTTCAGTCCCACTTCCTTCTCACAGATTTAGAAGACAGATTCAGACTCGGGTGAGAGCTCATAATTACTGTCCTTTATTTAAGGTTGTGGCCCTTGTCAGACAACCTCAACGCGCTGCAGAGAATAAAATATCCTTTGTTTTTAAAAGGGTCGTGTAGTCCGACTTCCATGCGCCCTATGCAGCACACTGTGACTCTCTGTTTCTGCTATGTGTAAAGTTTGCACATGTTTAAGTGCATGAACAACAGTGTGAGTGCAAGCCCTGTAACCCATATGTGCAAGGGGTGAGAGTTCAGCTCCTGCAGGGTTTGTTTAGGAATATATGACACTGCACAGCTGGCCCTCTCATCTGTGCATATCTGACTATAAAGTTTTACCGAGCGTCCGCACGGCCAGCTGCCTTTATCAGCGAGAGATGGAGTTATTCCCTCTCCAGACGGATGGAGGCCTCAGCCCTAGATCTGCTGCTCCCCTCTCTCTGTCTCCCAGTGGCCCTCATCAGGAACTGCTCTGCACAATCTGCAGTAAATGTAAAAACCAGTTTTCCTGGTATGGGAGCAGATGTAGAGCTGAATGCATTCAAACCAGAAACAAAAAGTCAGTAATAGATAAATCATTTTTACAAAAAATACATGCATTTCAAGCAAGTTGCTGTTTACACAACAGGAGTTGTTCGTTTTGCAGGACGGACAAGAAAACAAAACTCTTCATTCGGGAATAGTTACTCATGCAGCTACCGTGGAGAAAGAAAGGTATTTTTCAGGAGCAAAATTACTAACTTGCTCTGCATTTACCTGAAATGTTTGCCAGACCATGTGAAGTTAAATGTAAACCCCACCCAATATGCATGTAAAGTTGGGGGAATATCCATTGACAAGAGAGAATTTTATCAACAGCGGCTCGTGATGCATTCAGGTACAGCTGGAACACTAGGATTTCAAACTACGTGATGCATTCAGGTACAGCTGGAACACTAGGATTTCAAACTATCAAAATAACTCCAAAATGTTTTACTCTCAAAATTGAGCACCAAAAAATTATAAACATTAACACTGACTGTTTTCAAGTGGTTATATTGTTGTATCATCTATCTATCCATCTATCCAGGCATTGGGTATGGTCTCTTATACTATTACATTAATTGAACAAGTTCAACCAAATTTCCACTCAGTTTTATACTTTCTGTTTTTTTAAGTTTTATATTAGATCATAAGAAAATGAAATACCTCTAAGAAATTCCAAAAGATTGTTTTGGCTGATTGTACTTCTACCTCTACACCATATTTAATTTTTACATTCAGCAGTACCAGTAGCTGCTCTATATTTTTGATAAAATAGAAAACATTCAAATGACGGCTGAAGATGAGAGGAGCGTTTTTCAGTCGCTCTGAGGGATTTTATTTAGGGATAACAAAGTAAGAAAGGCTGCATCAAGATGCAGGGCACTTTAAAAAGAAAATTATATTTGGTAAAAGTTTTGGAAACAGTCTTTTTTTTTTTTTTTTTTTTTTTTTTTTTTCAGGCCCTGCGGGGGGGCCCCAAATTTTTTTTC